TTATTAATGGCAACATATATGAAACATTATAGAAAATACATGAAGTATTAGTGTTCTATAATATATTAAAAAAATTAAAATATTCATACATATACTTTAGTTTGACATAATAAAATGTTAAAATCTTAATTATACAAAACACTTTATTAAATTTTTCATTAAATTAAATGATCAAAATTACTATAAACACAGTACACATGCATATATTATGTAAACAAAAACTTTTATTTTGGATGCGATTAATCGCGATTAATCATTTGACAGCACTACTATAGAGTGATTTATTCACATTATGAAACAGATTGTATTAAATTATTAAATGGTTTATTGAATTTAAATGATCAAAATTAAAATTACTAAATTGTCAATTAGTTTTTTAATTTTATAAAATCATGTATGTAAAAAACAATTCCACAATTGCAAAATATCAATATTTAAACACATGAATAACTATGAACATTTATATTCTATTTATAAATTCACACAACTACACTAGAATGATTTATTAAACGGATTCATACGATAAAACTCAGATCTATTTAATAAGGCAGTTCACCTAAAATAATACAAATAATAGTTGCAAACAGCAACATAATAAAATAAAATGTATAAAACGGAGAGTTCCGCTCCTTGATTCTGATTGGTTGAGCCACGTTCGAAGCTGTTGTAAATTACTCTACAAACATACACCTTTGTTTACTTCTGTGTGTTGCTCGGCAACCACTTTGTTGGAACCACAACTGATTCTGAGGAACTACATTGTTTGGTGGAAGAATACTGTTTTTATTATCATTACACTTTATTTGCTCTGTTTTATTTTGTGAAACCTAACTACGTATATGGAATAACCGTTTTATAAAAGCAATAAACCTCGTGAAGCCGTGGTTTACAGTGAATTTATAACAGCTAAGGGGGTTTTCGCGTTCGCGTCGTACCCAACAACGCACCTTAGCTGTTATAAAATTCACTGTAAACCACGGCTTCACGGGGCTTATTGCTTTAATTGATTATAAAAGGCGATTGATATGATGAAATGTGTTTCTCACCGAAGCAGCGGCGGCCGTTGTCGGACAGCACGAACCCGGGCTGACAGAGGCACTGGAAGCTGCCCGGCGTGTTTTTACACGTGCCGAACTGACAGATGTTGGGCTCCACGTTGCACTCGTTGATATCTGTGCAGGACGGGACGGGTCAGCGCGGCTCACAGGTGTGTGTGTGTGTGTGTGTGTGTGACTGTGAAGCTCTTACCCACACACTTGTCGTTCTGCACCTCGTATCCGGGCGGACAGATGCAGCGGAACGAGCCGTCCAGATTCTGACAGGTCCCCGGCTGACAGGCGCCCGGCAGCGTCACGCACTCGTTAATATCTGACACCACACAAACACTCACATCATTACGTTACAGTTAGGCCTGTCGCAATAATCAATACATCGACTTATCGCACAATATATGTACATGACCTCAATCATTTTTGGTGACGCAATATATCGCCTATTATATTTACATACATTACATTACATTTACATGATATTTACAAAACACTATAAAAACACGATAAAAAAATGTTTTGTACATTCCACTTGCGCCTGTGTCTTTCGCAGCTTCTCGTGCATAACGTGGTGTAGTTGGTGCTAGTTCAAATTTAAAAAATGCTTCTACAAACAATGTTCCATCTGCAGATATGGCCTTGTTTAGGGATCTGTGTCTTTGTGCGTACGCACATCTGACTGCTGAGTAGTGATTGTGTTTTTCAGGAATAGTGTGCACCCTTAATTTACAGAGAAAATGAGGTCCGGGAAAAATCTGTCATAAAATGGTGTTAAAATAACAATAATACGGCTCATCGCAATTTTTTTAATGGGGCAATATATCGCACAACAAAAAGTTGTTATCGTGACAGGCCTAATTAATTACAGTCCTGCACAACACAATACATGATGACCAGAGCAACTAAACTACAGCAAAGATAGCAGTCTGAAAAAGTCTTTAAATGACTAAAAACAGCAGCTTTGATAACAGGGTGATGTGTTTTTAATTATGCAAAAAAAAAAAAGTCTAAGCAGTGTTTGGCACACAAATGTATCTAAAAAATAGTGGTTAAATATGTATATAAATTATATAATATATATCTGAAAAATAAAATATGTAATAAAAGATTATAGATATATGTTATACTTGTACATTATATAAAATGTACAAAAATGTGAAATACCTTTAATATAAAATCTATAATAAATATAATAGATATTACATTTTATTTCTAAATATTTTAATGTAAAACACAAATTCGTCCTAAATATGACTAATAAAAACACCCTGTCAATTAATTCAATTGCAAAATATCAATATTTAAAGTTAATATTTATAAAGCAATTTATAAATATCTATTTTTATTTATAAATGTACACTAGGCACAACTAATAAAACACCCTACATTATCTATAAAAATACTTATTAATGGCAAAATATTATATAAAATTTATGAAATATTAGTAATATAAATAATAAATAAAATATTGTATACATCTTATTTATATATATGTTTATGTAAAACTAATTTTAGCTAAATACAATTAATGAATCACCATATTTCATCGAATTCAATTGTAAAATACCAATATTTAAAGAAATTAATTACATATTTTATTTATACATTTACACTAGGTAAAACTACTAAAATGCCCTACTTTATCTAGATAAAATAATATTTATTAATGACAATGTAATATATAAAATACATAAAAAATTGTAATATGAGACACATAATAAAATATATTTAAAATATGTGTACATCGTATTTATAAATATCTGATGTGAGTAAAACTAATAAAACACCCTACTTTATGTAAACAAATGCATGTTTATGAACATCTAGAATTTATTTATTAATATCATTCACCTTCAACTAATAAAACGCTATTTATAAATCGCAAAACACAAATTATGATTAATATATAAAATATATTTGTAAATGTAAATATTTAAATTGCTAACAAAACGTGGGATTTAATTATTTTGAAATAAGGAGTGTGCTCACGCTTATTTTGTCAAACTGTATTTTATATTAAAAAAAGCGAGGTTATTTGGCTTATTTGGTCTACGGGTTACAAACACGAGATGCGTTTCTGAAATTAAAGGGCAGAAATCCCAGAGTTTTCCCTGGAGATCAATGGTATGGATGTTAGAGAGGTGTCAGGGGTCTCTGTTGATGATCTGTACAGTAAGAGGCTCACCGACGCAGTTCTTGCCATCCGGCGTCAGGTTATATCCGTCCAGACACAGACACCTGAAGGAGCCCATGCTGTTGATGCACTGGCCGTTCCTGCACACCTGACTGGCGTGAACGCTGCACTCGTCGATATCTGAACACACAGTCATTCCTCATTAGAAACCACCTCTGCTGTCATTAGGATATCACACGTGTACACATAGTTTGACATTAACACCCATAGAATCAGTAACAAATGATGATCAGTATTGTGAATTTCTGTGACATTTTAACTACACTGTTCATAAAACGTCCAAAATATGATTACGAAATGAGTGCATTATCTTTGCATGCACATTTTAGCTCATATATTTAGCATAATATTTTATTTCAAAATGTTTGAAGACCTAACATTTTGGACTTAAATTATTGCTTATAATTATCTGTAAAAATGTAAAACACACACACACACAAAAAAAACAATTAAAGACAAATTTCTGTACAGTATTAAATGTATGTGTTTAGTTATGTATGTGTTTAAATGGTTGAAGTCGCAATATAAAACGTTTAAAATATTAAGATAAAAAAATTAAATTGTAAAGTTTCATTTTGATTAAATAAAAAAACAAAAACATTTTAGACTTTCCTGTTGACAATATGCAAATTTATTTACAATGTTAAATTGTTAATTATGTATCTAAAAAGTTTAAATGGTTAAAGCCACATTATAAAGTTTAAATACATTTAAATTTGTAAAGTTTCATTTTAATTGAAGGAAACATTTAAGTCTTTCCTGCTAATATGCAAATTTCTTTACGAGTTTAAATGGTTAAAGTCACATTATAAAAAGTTTAAAATACATTTAAAATTGTAAAGTTTAATTTTAATTGAAGGAAACATTTAAGTCTTTCCTGCTAATATGCTAATTTCTTTACAATATTAAATAGTTAATTATGTATTCTAAGAGTTTAAATGGTTAAAGTCACATTATAAAAAGTTTAAAATACATTTAAAATCATAAAGTTTCATTTTGATTAAATGATAGGAAATATTTTAGTCTTTAAATGGTTTAAATGGTTAAAAATCACAAAAAAGTTTGAAATAAATTTTACAATTATTTCCTTTTCTTTATTCAAAATGAACCTTTAAAATTTTTTAATTTTTTGAAACTTTTCTAATGCGATTTTAACCATTTAAACTCAAACATTTAAATACATAATTAACCATTTAATATCAGTGTGCATATTATCAGCAATAAAGACTAAAATATTTCTTTTCCTTTAATCAAAATGAAACATTTTAGTCTTTAATGCTGATAATATGCGCATTTCTTTGCGATATTAAATGGTTAATTATGTATTTAAAGAGTTTAAATGGTTAAAGTCACAATACAAAAATACATTTTGATTAAATGAAAGGAAACATGTTAGTCTTTACTGCTGATAATAGGCAATTTTTTTTCCTTTAATGCTGATAATATGCGCATTTCTTTGCGATATTAAATGGTTAATTATGTATTCAAAAAGTTTAAATGGTTAAAGTCACAATATAAAAAGTTTAACATCCTGTTTAAATTGTAAAGTTTCATTTTAATTAAAGGAAACACTGAAGTCTTTCCTGCTAATAGGCAAACTTCTTTACAATATTAAGTAGTTAATCATGTATTTAAAGTTTAAATGGTTAAAATCACAATCTAAAAAGTTTAAAATAAATTTTAAAATTGTAAAGTTTCAAACTGATAAAAATATCACGTAATCATTAGAGCCCGACCGATATATCGTTTTGCCGAAATTATCGGCCGATATGAGCATGTCGCAGATATATCGGTATCGTCGAATATGCCGCCGATATGAACATTGTTTTTTACAGAACATCTAATGCAGATTAAATGCTTCTGAATGGTGTAACTACTTAGTTTGTCCAGCAGAGCGCGCTCCATTGTTTGCTACTGGCGACCCAGTTCAGTGTAGTGTAGAGATGCGCGGATAAGCTCAAACTTCACCCGAGTCCACTGCTTCAAATTATCCGCCCGCGACCCACCCGCACCTTTATTTAATCGTCACATTACAATGATTCTAATTCTTAGTTTTGCATGATGACATCATGATTGAATGGCATTAAAGCCTGTGTTACGGCCACCGGAGCTGATCGCGGCCACTCAGTCAATGCTGGTGTTTACCAGCCGCGCCGTGGCCCAGAACTCATGCTTATCACATCGGTCACATCACATCGTGCTTTTCATCGTGTAGAATTGTATTTTGTCGCGCCGCGCCGCTCGCGTCCGTTGTAGAATAGAACCCATTATAATCAGTGATGTTGTCTACACTGGACGCAGTAAACTGATGCCTCGTTCTAATATTAAACTGCAAAAAGACTTATTTAAATACGAATGTTCTGCATGTTCATTTGATTACAAGAAAATACACAACAGAATTTGTGAAAAAAAATATTATTGAACTGTGACATGTTTATGTGAGATTCGTCCATAATAAATACCCTGCCTCCACTACATAGGCCTATGTTTGTCACATCATTAGAAGTGTTTGATCACCACATTTGAGTTGTCACTGCAAAAATGTGTTTATGTATATATATTCTGTTTATGTAGGCTATATACTGTATTCGATATACAGTACCAGTCAAAAGTTGGGGAAATGGGAAGTGTGTCCAAACTTTTGACTATACTGTACTATAATATAGCCTACACATAAAGAATATCGGCCGATATATCAATATCGGTCTTTTTTTACTCCCTAATATCGGTGTCGGCATCGGCCCCCAAAAAACCCATATCGGTCGGGCTCTAGTAATCATGGTCATTATGGAAATATATTATTAACAGGTTTCCAGTCACATTATGGTGGCTCTATAAGCGTCCAGAAGCTGTAACAGTTGTTTTCTCACCCATGCAGTCGTTGTTGTGCGTGAGCTCGAAGCCGGGGAAGCACAGGCAGTTGTAGGAGCCCACGGTGTTTTTACAGGTGCCGTTTCCACACGGCTGCCGCTCGCACTCGTCGATATCTGCCAGAGACAGTGAGATTCAGCCCATCACACGTGATTCAGAGCGATCGATAACCGCTGCAGACACTCACCCATGCACATGGTCTGGTCCGGCGTGGTCTTGAAGCCGTTGTGGCACAGACAGCGGAAGCTGCCCTGAGTGTCGATGCACTCGCCGTGACTGCAGACGTTCGGGATCTCCTGACACTCGTTGCGGTCTGACAAAACACGCCGCCACAACACAATAAAGCCACAAAATCAGCCAGAAATGACACTTTATGAACAAATAAAAACTAAATTGCAAATAAATATATTTTAAAAAGTAGTGAATTAGTAATAAAATAAAATTATAAATTTTAATAATAAAATAAAAAATAAAAAAGCAGTCATTAAATAAAAAAATAATGTAACATTCAAAAATGAAGCTGTCATTAGGTGGGTTAGTTTTTGAAGGTGTGTCATTCAAACTCTATTTGCATAAAATAAAATAAAATAAAAAATAATTTAAGCAGTCATTAGATGGGTTGGTTTTTGAAGTTGTGGCCAAGTAAGTGTTGGGTAAGTTACTCTAAAAAAGTAATTAATTACTAGTTACTAATTACATCTTCAACAGTGTAATTATATTACTGTACAAATTACTCTCTCCAAAAAGTATTTAATTACTTATTACTAATTACTTTCTAAATCCTATATCAACCTCGACAAGTTAATGATACAAGGATAGACATGAAACGGTTCTTTTAATTTCATTCAAATAAATAAAAAGATAACTACATAAATTATTCTGGTCACACTTTAGATTAGGGTCCAATTCTCACTAGTAACTATGACTTTTGCCTCAATATACTCCTA